TATAAGATGTCAAATGTCTAAACAGTTATTCTTTATATTAAATTCTGATGTGAACATTTCTGCTTTGGTCTCATCAGGAGCTCTAAGCAGCGATAGATATCTATTGCTCTACATCCCTGTCAGAGCTGGAGATGACGTCACTTTGCCTTGTAATAATGTAGATCGTAGATTCCGTGATTGTAGATCCACCTCCTGGATCTACAGTAAATCAAGACAAGCAGCTGTAGAGTTGGTTAAACTTGGGAAGGTTGAAGATTCCAGATCAGACAGACTGAGTGTTTCTGCAAACTGTTCTCTGGTTCTAAAGAAAGTCACAGTTGAGAATGTCGGTCTTTACACCTGCAGACAGTTTATATCAGATATACAAAAGGGTCCAGATGCTGATGTTCGTCTTGCTCTTGTTAACTGTAAGTATTAAACAATATTTTCAGCTTTTATTGACAACAAGCTGCTGACAGCTGAATCATAATGATTTCATGATCTGAAGGAACCATAATTCCTCTGATTTTCTCTTTCAAATCATCTTCAGTGACAGAAGATCAGAACCAGAACAGGGTGACATTAAGCTGCTCTGTGGTAACTGATGAGTGTAAACACAGAGTGAAGTGGTTGAATAAAGGTAGAGATGTGGATAAAGAAAACAACGAAATAACAGAATCATCATCTTCCTGCTCTGCTGCTCTCACCTTCCAGACGTCTCATTACATTTATCAAACAAGGTTTAATGATTTAAAGTGTGAAATAAAGACAGAAGACAATAAAGTTCATAATTTTACCCTCACTCCTGATCCATCAGGTAGGAATGATGAAAACCTCTTAAGACGTTTCAGAGTTTTTCAGTTACATAAAGCAAAATGTTTATTGTTGACTTCTGTTGCTTTTCTTAGACAAACGCAAAACAACGACCACATCACCATCAGAAACATCAGGTACAGGTGAACTAAAAGACAAACCAGAGAGCAGAAACACAGGAGAAAACAAACCAAACTGAACTGGAAGAATCTGGAACTAAATCATCCTGATCTG